GCTTTCCTCTGTTCTGTGAGCTCTCTGCTTGATTTGAACTATGCATGCCAGAGGAAAATCCTGTAGCCCTCTAATTCTACCAGTGGAGCACAAAGCAGTATGTTCATAAAAGAGAAAAGCAAGCCAGTGGAACGGTCCTTCAGTGCTACAAGTCTACTTTGTATCCATCGTTCACCTGATTTACTGAATGGAAAACATTTTATTCCTCATTCCCAGACTTCCATATTCAGGTTTATTTCTGAATCTGACTTTTGCTCTTCATAAGAATAGTTAGGTGGCTCAGATTCAAGTCTTGGTACCAATAGCACAAAACAAAAACAACTTAATATAAAATCAGTCTACATAAATCCATTTAATACCTACAAATGGCCCTGGTTTGAATTTTACTGACCAGTACTGTTGTTTTGTATGACATCTGATTTGTGAAGGATATTAATTAAAATCCTTTATGAAAGGCATACATTTACACACTGTCAGACCGGGTGAAGATAGTGTTAATCGTGTTGTACAGTTAGGTTGTCATCTGCATGTTTAGACTTAATTTAGGTTTCAAATCTATCTTTTCCCTAAGCAAGGAAACTTAAATCCTGTTCTCATGTTCTGTCCTAATCCCTAGTATTAAGCCAATCTCTTGTAAGTTAGTGTCAGTAACTGAGTTCTGCTCTAGGGTGGCTACATCCTTCCCAATAGCCCTGCACTCTGTCTTGTCCTCTGTAATCCACATGGGCATTAGGTGGCACTGAGTCCCTAAGCTCTAGATCCTGTGATAGAATGATGTCTATCTAGTGCTAGAGTGATTGCCCTGGATGAAGTGCTTCTCACTCAGTACTTTTCAGACACCTACGCTACATATACCACTTGCGTATTGACTTTACCAACATTGATACCAGAACCAGCTCATTTCCTTCCAGTTGCCCACTACAAGGCTTTCCTAGATACCGTGTCACATCTAAGTGGGCCTCTGTATCCCAAAGAACCTATATTTCTAAACCCAACATGTCTTATCATCCTCCAAGCCCTGTATTATAATATGTTTTTCATCAAAACGAAGCCAGTTCTCAATTAGGTATAATTCCCTATGGATGACTAAAGTTTTATGCAGTCACAATAAATATTTGCAAAGTATTCACTGAATATGCCACAGTGTATGAGGGGGGAGGTTTTTAGGGTTTATTCATAGTCATCTGATACTAATATCCAGTTTGTTAAAATTGAAATTGTGCCTACTACACACTAAGCAATTTTATATCCTTTTCAATTTGTAAATAACAGACTTATAATTGAACATCTGCTTTTTTATTTTCCTCTAATCATCTTCACAAAGGAAGCCAAGAGTGGTTATTCTTCTACCACTGAGTTAGGCAAAGAAGTAAGAAGCACAGAAGTATCTCCATTTGTTTTCCATGCATCTAAGTAAACTTTAACAATCTTTGTGTAGGACTTTTTCTAGGAAATAGAAATTTATTATTAAAATATTGGTATTTTTATAATAAGTCAAGAAATATCAATAAAACCCAGAAAAGCTTTTTAGAAATTATATAATTCTTTTATTTTAAAACATGTGATTTGAACATTTCTAATTTGAATCTAATAATAAAAGGCCAAAACCATTTGACCCTTTTAGCCATTTGTTTTGTTTCTGTGGCAATTATTTTCATCTTCCTGAAGTATTATGTAATTTGTTTAAACGTATGTGATGACTTGCACAGTTATTTCTGTTTATCAGTGAGCATTTTTTATGTGCCTGGAGACCCTTCCCTAAGCACTCCACATGTGCCATCTCACTGCACTGCCCACAGACACCAAGGCAAGGTCATGGTCACCATCCTGTAGATGAGGAAAGTGAGACTCGGGTATCTCTCTGATGCATCCCACTGTCAAATACACTTCTAGTATAAGCATTCTAGATCATGGGGAGATTCTATTATTAGTATGGAAATGTTGACCTAGAAAATAGAGCTGCAGTAAAAAATATTTTACTTAAATAAACAGTGTTATACACTTCTATTTTTGATAATATGCATTATTAATAAATAATAATTCATAGGAAAGCCAAACTTCAGACTCCAGCAGGTGAGCTACAGGATTCATAATTGTCACTACCATGCTAAAAAAATAACCAGGTATATAGGTGAGTTTGTCCTCCGCAATCAATTGGAGTGATATTTCTTTACAATGCTTTCCCCAGACTTGAGAGTATTGAATTTTGTAGGTAGTTCAGCTCATTAAGAGTAGCAATAGTTTATGTACATTTGCTCAGGGTTTTTTAAGGATGCAAACCATTGACTGGTAAAGGAAGTTAAAATTAATGTTCACAATGCTTTCTCCTTCGTAAAGGATACTTTCTAAGGAATGCATTTTTTTTTTTTGGTACCAGGGATCAAACTCAGGACCTTGTGCTTATGAGACAAGTGGCAGAACCACTGAGCTAAATTCCCAGCCCAGAATGCATTATTCATTTTGAGGGTTATAACAAAGCTGGGACATATGAATAAAATATATTCATGGAGTTATTAAATTTGAAATAAAAAACTAAAAACATATCAACACTACCCAGATGTAGTCTTCTGAAGAAAAATTTTAAATCATCCTACCTTTAAACCATACATTTGGTTTTAAAACCATACATACGGTTTTAAAACATACATGAAATGTTCTTACATTTTCAACATTAATGAAGAGTTGTTTTTAAATAAATGAATAAAACGCATTTCACACGATGTGCCATTAAAGGTGGCAACAGAAATATGTTTTAAAATTTATTTTATTGTATTACTTTGTTTTCTTTTTACATTTTTGTATCTCCCTGTTTTTGCTTAAGAATCTGTTTTTTAAAACACTTTTTCAGTCAGTGTCTGCCCCCTGTGGTAAGCTGAGGAGGCCGCAGTTATGTAGGGCCCAGGATGTGTGTGCAAAGAAGCCCTGCACAAAGCCAGTCATGTGGCTCCGTTACAACATGTGGCAGGGGCAGGGGAGAACAATGAGAGGGAAAATAGCATGTGGGATACCCCATGCTTCTACGGGATCCACAGCATTGCAGGGCCTGACTCCATCATGTTGCTGGGCATCCCGAGGACATCTGGAAAATCACTGGCCCAAGGAACAATCACATCAAGGCAGGAAGCCTGAGAGACCATATTGTTGCTTAAATTTCTTCAGCAAGAAGGAAAGTGACCTCATTTGGCTCACTGAAGACCAGTCTCAAATGATCAATTAAATAAATTGTGCTTTGAGGAAAAATACAAGTCAAAAAGGTAACTTCTTTATATTTAATATTTTACTTTATTAACAAACAGCTTTTAAAATATCCTCAAAGAGGTATATACCTAGTTAAAATACAAAGTTATCCAAACATCAAACAGAATGTTTTGTATTTGTCTAAAATGCTGATGTTCAAGCACTGTCTTTATCAAAATTTTTTGTTAGCACATTGAATATTGTAAGCGGCTTGTTGAGAACAAGAGGTTAAAGAAAGTGAAGAAGAATGAATATATCAACACTAATTCTTGATGAATCTATTTCATTTTATTTCTTTTTCCTCTGAAAGAACATTCTAGTAACCATGTTGGTGTTTCCATTCAGAAATGGGAATTAAAATAGCTGATTTTAACTAAGTGTGATGGGAAGAAGTAGGCCAGCTCCCAGCCATGTGAAGCAATGGAAGACAATATGTCACCCAGCAGTTCAGAGTCCTGGACCTGCTTCAGGGCTCACTCATGTGCTCCATGGTCTTGGGTAATTAGCTTAACCTCTGTGTACAACAATTTCCACAGCCACAAAATAGGGTTGCTTATGTTACTAAGTGAGAAAACTTGGGGTACAGGGGCAATGCATAAACACAGAGCTCTTTCAAAAACTGCCTTTCCCCAGAATTGTCCTACTAAAGTAAGTATTCTTAGGACAAAAGAAACAAAAACTGTATGTGGAGGGGGCAACACAAAAAAACTCTTGAAGTGATGGATAACTTTATTGTCTTGATTGTGCTGACCGTATCACGGATGTAGGCATATGTCCAAACTAAAATGTACAATTTTTTAATGGATCAATTATATTTCAATCAATCTCAAGAGAGAGACAGAAAGACAGAAACAGAAATAGAGAGTGACCCAGCAAGCTATAAGGAGATGTGTTCTGAGCTCACTCGCAAGACATTTGTTAATCAAAAGGATTGTTCTGTGTTCTAAGACTGACCCATCAGGAATGGGGAGAAACAACTCTGTAGGAACTTGCTCCACCCACAGAAAACAGTTGGATAATTTCCTTCCCTACCCTACACCCATATTATATTTATAGAAAAGTATTTGAAACATTTGATTCTTCCAAGGAGAAAATAAAATCATAGATGAAGGAAAGAAATATAATGACAATATTATATCATACCAGGGCTGGGGATTTAGCTCAGTGGTGCCGCCATCTGCCTTGCAAGCACAAGGCACCGAGTTTGATCCTTGGTAGCAAAAAAAAAAAAAATATTATACCATCTCCATTTGTCATACCTATGTAAGGCAATGATCATCCCAAACATGAAAGATACCAAGGATTCGAGAATTCACAGACCCTTCTTAAATAAACTATTTGACAATAAAGTCTAGTCACTCAAATAATGAATCAAAACAAAGAAATAGAGAAAGATGTGGTGAATACTGAATTTATTCTCAGATTACATAAAAAATAAATATCATAAATTTAACAATATAAAAATACAATTTAAGACAAGCTAGAACCTAAAAGGTATAATCTAATATAATTACATTTTCAAGGAACTGAATCAGTCAACAGTACTCTTAATTAAAATATTAAATATAGAGCTAAAGTAGCACAAAACCTCAAACTACAAAGTTAGAAAAGGACAAAAATATAGACAATTATTTAAGAACCATAAAGTAAAATGAAATGGCATGTGTATAAGAAAAGATTTTAGTCACCTTATGTTCAAAAATCCTAATGTGAGCCCACAGCACCAGGACACAGAGTTGATTAAAATTTCATCATCAACAATAAAATGTACAAAATTTCCACTTATTTATTTCAGCCTTATTTCCTTTTAGACAGTAGATTTGGAGGCTCCCTCTGGTGGATGAATACAATATAATTTTCATATTTGCATTTCAAAAAAGTTTAAATTAAAAAAGCTATAATCTACATTGAAATATCTTCCTCCGGAATGTGAGATCTTGGTGCTCATTGTAGAATAGTGATGATGGTGAGGCTGGTACTGATGATGATGATGATGATGATGATGATGGAAAAATGGATTCTATTCAAATGTTTGACAGAATGCCACAATCACAGATTATATGATCAAAAGGATCTGGAAAATACAAGTAGAATGAGAACAATGTGGAGGCTGCAAGGTTTAACAAGGTTTAACACTTGTGCCTTCCCTCCAGAGCAGTCACCCAAGCTCCAGCTGAGGCCTCTTGAGCAACAGCTGGGGCAGTGAAAGAATGCTGCACAAGAACGCAGGGTGCAGAACACTGGGGCAGGCATACTGGGCCACAAGCCCATCGAAAGCACCCTAGGTCTGACCTTCAAAACCATACTACCTTCCTAGATCTCTGAGCTGGTCATGGTAAGGGCGCCTGAAAAATCTCTTAAATGCCTTCAGGATCACTTTGCAGTGGCCTTGATGAATACCACCTGGTTTTGTTCTCTCCATGTTGATCCCTTTATGAGGGTCACTTGGCTGCACCCTCGAACTCTTTTTTTTTTTAGTCTTTTATTATTTAAATGGCCAGGCTACAAATTCTTCAAATTTTCACATTCTGTCTCCCTTTTAATTATAAATTTCATTTTTCAATCATTTCTTCACTATACCACATGCAATTCAAAGAAGCCAGAAGCTTCTTTAATATTCCACTTAGAAGTTTCTTCCACTAGATATCCTATTTCATTGCTCTTAAATTCTACCTTCCACAAAACCTTCAGGAATGGACACAATTCAGCCAAGTTCTTTGTTACTTTATAATAAAGATAAACTTTAGTTTCCAGGGCTGGGGATTTAGCTCAGCAGTTCTGCTGCCTGCCTGGCAAGCGCAAGGTCCTGAGTTTGATCCCCTGTACCAAAAGACTTTAGTGTCCAATACCTGTTCCTAACTTCTATTTAAGATCTCATAAGAATGGCCTTTACTATTCATATTTCTGCCAGCATTCTGGCCATGATCATTTAAATAATCTCTAAGAAGATTTAGTCTTTCCCTACAGCTATTCTCTTCTCAACACTCACCAGAATTTCCCTCTTCCAAATTCTTCCTAGCTCTGCTCATTACCCAGTTCCAATGTGTACTTCTACACATTCAGATATTTGTTACAGCAACAAAACTCATTTTACCAGTATCAATTCATGTTTTACTCTATTTTTTCCTGCTATAACAAAATGCCTGAGACTTGGAACTTTATAAAGAACAGAAGTTTATTTTTATAGTTCTGGAGGATTGGAAGTCCAGTATCAAGGCTATGGCATCTGGTAAAGGGCCTGTTTGCTGTATCATCCCATGGTGGAAAGGGAAGAGAAAGAGGATGCACTTGTACATAAGAAAGGGAGAACTCATTCTTTTTTAGGGAACCTACTTTCATGATGACAAACCCATTCCCGTAACAACACCATTAATGCATTCATGAGTGCATGTCACTCCTGCCCTAATCACCCTTTAAATATTATGTCTCTCAACACTGTTAATAGGGGATTAAGTTTCCAACACATGAACTTTGAGGGGCACATTCAAACTACACCATATGGCAAACAGCAACAACAGAAATGGTCCATTCCAGCAAATTAGCTTAAACTTTTTTTCCTTTTTCTGTTTCTTTTAAGAAGTTTAAGAATCCATATCAGAAATCAAATGAGCAACAATGATGCTATTATAAAGATAACTTGGAACACACAATGTTTCTGTCTTTAAAAAAACTATACAGTATCACAAACTAGAAAATATCAAGAACTTATAACATATCTCACAATGAATCTCAGCATTCTTAGTGTGCTCCAAGAGCATGTTTTTTTTTCCATTAAGCTTATTGGTACATTTTAGGTATACAATACAGTTACATACATCATTGGGATCTTATACCTTTACATGATGTATCTTGGTCCAAGAGCATGTTTTAAAAGTGTTATTCTGTAGGTTTCATTGTAGGGCAGTAAAATTTTTACAGAACTTTAGTATATTCTTCATTCAATCCTCACACAATTCTTTCCAGTAGGAGATGATCATATTATTTCCTCCATCGTTATTATTACTTTCACATTTATGTGAGACCACAAGTCAAGCTATCTGTTCTGTATTGCACACCATGGAAAAGAATCTGCTGTATGGATGGCTTTTCTGTGCAGTAGGCCAAGCATTTGCTGCATCCATGAGAAGAAAATGAATAGGAGAAGTGAAGGGAGAGGGTAATAGCTTTTAGGGTTTAGTTTGCTAAAGTAACGTTTAGAAAATTTGTCGTGTCTTAAATGCTCTACAATTAAAAATGATGCTGTTATATGAGTATTTTCCAGGGTATGTTCTACTAATTTATTTTTTCTTTATGATACTTTATAGAAAAAACTCATAAAGATAATTAATTGAAATAAGACTTGGTAACTATTGCATATTATGTCTGCCTTGTAGAGTCAAAACGTTCTTTTCCATATTAATTGTCCAGAAAAGTTCTTCAGTAAAGAACCATGTTTAATTTTGTTTTATTTGTGTTACTAGTATTTATTTACAATGGAAATTTTTTCTTATGTCATTCCATTTAACAAGAATTGGAGCTGGCTTCTGAGGATCATGTTTTAGGAACAGCTACATAAGATATTATCTCTCTCATTGTTCAAATAATCAAGTGCTCTATAGATGTTTCCCTCATATTTGTTCATATGAAAGGGGAAAATGGGAAATTCTTGTGAAAACCTCCTTCGAAGTCCTTCTCCTAGAAACTGAGACTTATATCCAAGATATAACCAAAAAGAATAAAACTGAATAAGTGTTTATCTGTTTTGAAACTAGTAAATACTGCCAATAATATATTACTAATTTTTGGCAGCAATCACTACCAAATTTAAATCAGTGGAAAGAAAAACATCAAAAGTTGATGTGCAACTTCCTTTCCTGAAAATCCGAAGCTTTCAGGGAAGTAAGTAAGACAAATTTTGCCAGTTCTCAATAAGAATGAGTAACTGGGAAGCAAGGCTAGACAGAGAGTCTTACAGAAGATGGGCTTCTGCCACAAAACGTCCCTGCCCCAAGCTAAGCAAACACAGACAAATGAGCAGTAGCTCCTCAGTATGTTGTTATTCTTTGTTACATGTTTCACTCTTGTCAAGAATAACATATTTTTCTAACATGACAATAGGGAAGAGATTCTCACAATTCCAATATTTCAGGAACAAGGGCAAGCAATTTTCATAGATGCAAAGGTAATTGTGTTAGATGCAGGAGGGAAAAAGTAGGTCACTAAACTAAGAATCTTTCAGCCCTGAAGCTTTGTTTCAACCTACTAAATTAGATAAATCTAGCCAAATTAGGTTACTAATACAGAATCAAAGGGTATTCCTTCCAATGAGCAGTGAAGGACATACACACAACCCATACTTCTTCATGCCAATTTACTCACAGAACTATTCAAATGTACATTTTTCTCCCAATAAAGCCTTTCATGGCCGTAGTTCTTGTTCTTTTTCTACCTTCCAAAGGTGATGCATACCTAAATGTATATGCAAATTTGAAGAATGAATGAATAGATGAAAATGGTAGCCTCAGAAACAGAGGGGAAACCATGAAATAACTTTACAAACTATTTTGGAAAAAATTTCGTTTTACACAATCTTTAGTCTAAAATTAGTACCCCTCCTATCCTGCTATGGCTTCTTGCATGGCTGGAAAAAAAAAATGAATCAATCAGAAAACACTCCCACAGGTTCCCGACATCATACATGCCATAATAAACACCCTCATGTGCTCTGATTTCCTGTTAGGATAGACCAACTGCTTGCATTCTCATCTCAGGCCAGCCCCTCCATTGTGGACTAGATTGCCTTCTTCCTAGCTTATCCAAGGAAACAGTGCCTCATCTCTCTCTTCTTATCCCTGCACCTTCAATCAGCACACAGGTAAGTTCTTATTTAGCCCATATTAAATTTTGAGAGCACACACATTCAACTTTCTTGACTGATCTCTCCCTCCAGATTCTGTCCTTGTGCCTGCATGTTCCTCTTTTTCTCCTGCCTTTGCCCCTCCACAGAACCATGCTTAGATCAAAGTTTCTGCAAACCACCATAGTGCAAAACCTATTCATAGATTCTCCATATTCATCTCACTTAATCAGCTGGAAGCATTGAAAATGGGCCATTATCTGGTTTCCAAGACGTGCTCCTGATTTTCTCTCTCCGCATTGGTTATTCTCCCTCAGTTTCCATTCTAGCCTTCTCTCTGTTCCTTATTAGTGCCTAAGTTTCCCACAGCTCAACCCTTTAACCTCTCCTCCAACTACCTTCACTGCAAAGGTGATTTTATCTTGATTCATGACTTTCAATCTCATCCACTTGTGGACAACCTTCAAATTTATGTCTGCAGCTCACAGTTCTCGTCAACTAAAAAACCCATATATTTGAGGGTCTCACACGATACCTGCCCTTTAGATTACCAAGTCCAAAGCAGGGCTTTTCTTCTCTTTCAAATGCTGCTTCCCTTTCTCTGACACTTAATGGAATTAGCATCCTTTTAGATCCTCACACATGAAACGTTAGGCTTATTCTTGACACTTCTCTTTTCTTCAACTCTATATCCAATCTGTTAACAAATTCTTATGACTCTAACTTTATATTATATATAGGATCGAACCTTTCCCCAACACTCTTATTGTTATAACCCTGGAGTAAACAGACTTCTCTCACCTGGATTATTACATCATCCTCCAAATTGGTTTTCCTGCTTTCAATTTTATGTTCTCAAAAAGGCAGCCAAATAAACTTTTTACATGTGATTTGTATCATTATTTTGCTTAATAACATTGAAATAATTTAGCTTTAGATTAAAAGGCAGCTTCTCACAATTACCTACAAAGCCTTGCATCACTACCTTGCATCACTATTGTTCTTCCCTTTGATCATTTTGTTTTAGCTGCAATGGATTTCCTGGGGTTCCTGAGAGAAATGAGGAAGATCTTTACCTCAGGGCCTTTGTACTTACTGTTCTATATCTCGCATCCAATCTGTTAGCAAATGAGAGTGTCTTACCTAGAATTAATTTCAGAGTCTTAGCTCTTTTGAACATAAAAATGTACTCATATTTTTTTCTCAAATACCGATAAGGCTCACTCTTTGCTCACATA